TATTTTTGCAACTGTTCAATGTGTATGTACATATAAACAAATTGTTACACTAACTTCCCAGCTAATTTCAAGAGGTAGCAAATACACGGAATTCTCATTTAATTCCCTGAATTCTTGTCCTGTTGAAATATGTATTGTAAGAACGTGCAGTAGAGATGTTTTCCTTTTGCTTTAATCACTTCATAGTTTATGCAGCACTACTTATATTTCTTGCTAATTCCCACAATGTTAAGACCAAGTTTACAACAGGCTCTAGGAAAGTTCTGGCAGACTTTCCAGTAGTAGAGATGTGCAACACCTCCAAAGGAGGATCCAGAGTCTGTACCACAAACCCTGGCAGACCTGCTCTGTATACAGCATTATAACAAGCACAAAATCACTGATAATTCAACTGGGCTCGCTCCAGCACACCAGACCTTCATCTGTCCAGAGAGGCTGCAACAACACAGCCTCTCCATCCTTTCTGCCTTCTGTCTTCCTACTACTAGTCATGACAGCACCTCCTTTTCTCCCCTCAAATCCTCCAGTGGACCTTCTCATTCTTTCCCTCCCATATCTTACTTCATGCTTGTCTTCTGATGTGATTGTGGAAAAGCTTTCCTCAAATCTCCACTCCATGGTGTTTCAGAAATGAACAACGACATCCTTAAAATATCTCATCCCTGTTTATCTTGTCTACACCATTCATCCTTTCAAAGCTTTCTACCGGCTTGCAACCTTTCATCACGTAATTTGCATCTCACCTTCCTTACCCTTCACAAAGATGTCACTCCTTAAAGAGTTCTTCCTGTATCTGATCCCAGTTCTCTATCATTTCTACCACCAAAATGAGTTCTTTCCTCACTTCTTGCTTTTCTGTGTATGTATTTCCACATCTCATCTACTTTACTGCACACACAAGTCACATCCATTCTCCTCAAACTAAACTGGAGATTACATGCTACCTCTGCTCTGAATGCTAAACTCTAAGCCTGAATCAACTGAAAACCACTACGTAGATCAAAAAACTGCAAAAACACGTAACAGAAGGAAGTCCAAGGTAAAGCCCAGTTCTCAATTTATGTAATTCCAAATTAGCAACAGGGAACTTAATTGTGTACTTTCTCCTTCTCTCAAAATTCTGGAATCCGCATTAACAAGATGATAATTGAGACAATGTTGTATAAAATTTCACTTTAGACTTTCCTCCACATTTACCTGTTCGAGAGTTCTCCCTTTTCAGATATGCACTTTTTAAAAGCCTCTTTATTGCTTCTGACTACAGAGACAATAGGTCAGCCAAACCTGAATAACCACAACACCACTCAAACTCCAAGCAGAATTCAACATGAGGTAACAGAACACTGATCTTTGGAAAATAATAAGCAGCCTTTAATTATACTGGCAACTAGGATTCAGATGATTTTCCAAAGTACACAGATAATGTATTAGGAACAAGATGTTTATATCTCATTTTAATGATTACAGCAAAGACTGCGAAACTCCATTTCTACAATTGGTATCACTTGATATTTTAATTAATTCATAAATCAAGTGCAGAAGATTTAAGTTTAGTAGCTATTTTGAGTGGCTCCATTTCAGAGCAAAAGCACATCCCAAGAACAAAACTTCTAATTGAACTTATAATTATTTATTCCTTTCAAGAATGATTTTTAAGGTTTTCAATTGAATATAAATTTGAGAAGCCCATTCCCTATAAAATATTTATAAGGATAAAATTATCTGATTTTTATTTATTTATTTTTTTTTTTTAAGATCTTATTACTGAGTAAACAACCAATCCTTAAAAAGACTCCATCAAGAAGTCAAACACTATTATCTTTCAAAACATTTTCTTTGGATACCAAGTCAACCATCAGATATGAATTTTCCCAATATTTTGGCTAGCTTTGAAATGAGAGATCTTCAGTCCTGTAAACATGCCAGAATGTACTAGTATAGCACATACTAACGCAGAAGCTTAAGCTACAGTGGCTTCTTCTGGAAGCACTTTACTTTGTGTGTGTGATTCTATTTTTATTTTTTTATTTTTTTTTTAAGCATAACCAGAAATCTAGGATATTTTACTTTCAGATTTGGAAGAGACATAAGTCAAGTCACTAAGAAACAATGAGGGGAACAAAATCAAACAGAAAGCAACATTCATTAAAAATAGATGAAAACAAACTGAAAATAAGCTCTCCAATTTCAGAAAGGTATGTTTGCATACATTTTCATGGAAAAACTGTTTCCAATGAGCTCTACTAAATTTTTCCCTAAGGTAATGAAGAACTTGAATGAAAAAGTTATAAAGTTAAACTATACACTAAGCTGAAAAACTTTTATGGATCACAAAACTGCTGGACCTCAGCTCAGCTTTGGGGCACTGAAGCAGTATGTAGTTAAGAACCGCGAATTAAGACAGTGAGAGAATGGTTCAAATTCACTCAAGACTTGTACAAAAAGCTGTAACAGAAGAACAGTGAAAGAACTAGTTGTGGCAAACTGGAAGGAAAGATGTGCAGGATTCACAAATGTGCCAGTATCTTGAGCTACAAACTACTTCTATCTGTATTTTTTTCTTAGGTGCTGGCAAAACAAATTTAAATACTATTTCTACTGCGGTTACAGAGCAGCAAGATGGAAGGAAAAAATATGCAGCATCCCTGCTCCATTGTAAGGTTTTATTTTGTCACACTGTGTTACATAGCTAATGTACTGCTGTTTTACCTGATGCTGGACTTCAGGTTTTGCTATTATCAAATTCAACTGCCTTACTGCAGTATAAATCTAAGGCAACACCACTGAAACTGCAAGCAATGAGGTAAAAGACTGCAAAAATGGCTCTCAGCTGGTGGTTCTGTAGTGTACAATAATGGAAAGGAAAACAAATTCAGATAAATGGGTTTTCTATATCCCACAGCTGTGACCAAACAACATTATAGTATTGGCATAGTCAGCGATTCAAATATATAAATTTGTACTGGTACAAAGCAGCAAAACAGCAGATTATAATCAACTGACATTAGTATTCAATGAGGTTACACTATTTCAGTATACAAGGGGGAACTGGAGGAGTTCACAGAATCACAGAAACACAAGGTTGGAAATGACCTGCAAGATCATCTAGTCCAACCACCCTCCCATTCCTATCAGTGCCACAAGCTACTAAACCATCTCTCGTAGCTCCTCATCCAGGCGCCTCTTGAACACTGCCAGGGAAGGCGACTCCACCACCTCCCTGGGCAGCCATTCCAGTGCCTGACCACCCTCTGAGAGAAAAAGTTTCTCCTAATATCCAACCTAAATCTCCTCTGGTACAACTTCTTGCCATTTCCTCGGGTCCTACTATTTGCCTGGGAGAAGAGGCCAGACCCTTTTGCACCACAACCTCCCTTTAGGAAGTTGTAGAGTGCAATGAGGTCTCCGCTGAGCCTCCTCTTCTCCAGACTGAACAATCCCAGCTCCTTCAGCTGCTCCTCATAAGACTTGTGCTCCAGACCCCTCACCAGTTTCGTTGCCCTTCTCTGGACACGCTCCAGGGCCTCAATGTCTTTCTTGTAGTGAGGGGCCCAAAACTGAACACAGTACTCGAGGTGCGGCCTCACCAGTGCTGAGTAGAGGGGGATGATCACCTCCCTGCTCCTGCTGGCCACACTATTTCTAATGCAGGCCAGGATGCCGTTGGCCCTCTTGGCCACTTGGGCACACTGTCGGCTCATGTGCAGTTGTGCAGGTCTGGGTCTCCCACCACTAGTCTTATAGGAACGTTGCAGAACACTGCAATCCCTGCAATCCAATCCTTCTGGAAACTCTCTAAGAAAGATTAGCTATGCTAATTAGCTATGCTTTTGGAAAGTGTCTTTTTCTCTTTATTTATTACTGTCATTGGATATAGAATGTCTTGAGACAACTGGTATGCCAAGACTAGGAAACGTGTGTTAAACTAACTTGAATCCAAAATCACAGTCTTACATTCATTCAATTCTCCTACAATACTGCTTCCAGTTCCTGGCATCAGATAACAGATCTGCCCAACTTCTATATCATAACAATGCAGGAAATTTAAAATGCTTTCTTTATGAAACAAGGTTTGTTCAATAACACTTTCTTTGCTCTGCAAACCTTCTTAAAAACAAATCTATGGGTACAATTTCCTAAAATACATTCAAATATGAAACTGCTGCCATTATTGCCAAGATATTTTGTTATGGAAGCTACAAGCTTATAGTGATTTACCAGCAACTGACTAAAACCATTTGTGGTGAATGCGAGAAAACAGAATTACAGCCACCGAATGCTGAAGCATACCTAAAATATTAAGGTTATTCTTTAGAGGTGATGTGACTTAACAGCACTGACAATCAATGCTGACCACCTTAGCCCAGAGAAGAACAGAGTTTACCTGTAATTTATCCTGCTTTCAAGGGAAGCCCTCAAATACATTCCAGTTTATTTTGTTGACTTCCTCCTACTTTTTTCCCTCCTCTCCAATAAAGTGCTGCATGTTAATGATGGTAATACAGATTTGGCACATTGCAAATTCGTTAAACTCAGTTGCAGGCTGAAGAAAACATCTCATCTTCCTCAAGCCACTTCTCCTTGCACAATTATAACTACTGAGAGACTCATGCATAAGCATTTTCTAAACAAGTCTGATTATTCACATATTATTTACCAACATATTTTATCATCTTGTATATTTATACATGTATATTGTTTATATGTATATTATACATGTGTATTAGCATGTGCTTATTTTTAAATGTGTGTGTGTGTATATAAAATTAATAAAACACCTGATTTATCAGTAAGGGGTAAAAACTAATGCACATAAAATACATTAAACAGAGTTAATACAAATTTGATCTCAAGTCAAGCATATAGACAATGTTCTAGCCTTCGGAATACAGAAAGTGTTTTCATCACTGAATTGTAAGAGAAAATGAAAATACAAGTATCTATTAATAGCACGGATGTGAAAAAGTACAAAAATTGATTGATTTTCTTTCCTACAATACCTGATCGTGGCTTCAGGCCAAAAGGGATTGTGTTGTTTGTAGTAGGAGACAGCGTTGGACTTTTATCTTTGTTCTGTATAATTTAAGAACATAAATTCAAATAAGAGCAGTGTCCAGAATATCACAGGGAAACTGACTGAATTAGCAATACTGCATGCTACAACTATTTCACCACAGTCTGATCACATAGCTTTGAACCTCTAACAATCTCTCAGTTTCATTCAATACCACTCCTTTACTGGAAAAGAACTTTCTGACTGAAGTCTGCAGCATATTGGCCCTAGCTATAAATAAGCGTGATTGTTTCTCAGTTTTCTCCCACAAAACCATTTGGTTCCATTCAACATACACTTTTGTGGCAGAGTACATTTAGAAGAACAAAACAGAGACAATTTTTTTTTCCTTAGATGTGTTTCTTACACTGAATCAGAATTACCATTCTGCTTAACTATTTCTCCTGAATTCTGCCTAAAATGCAGAAAGGTGGAAGTTAATCATAGACCTCACAGTAGAACCATGATGGTTATACCATGATAAGAAAGGAGAAGTCTTATAACCAACCTCCAGAAAACAAATCCTATTTAAAAAACGATTCATGAGAATGGAATCTATGGGAGTACCATCACCAACACCGGGTGCTCGTGAGTTTGTGAGGTGCTCATATACAGTGTAAAGTAGAGGAAGAAACACTGGTTTTGCACAGAAAATAGGAAGGTTCCATAAAGAGCCCACTGACCATCCACATGCTGAAGACAAACAAAATGCACTGTCATCTTACCTCATTGTGAGAGGGTTGGCCACTTGTATTCCAAACAATTACATCATTCTGCACAATTGGACAGAAAGAAAAAAGAAAGATTTTTTCAGCAAATGCATTGGTCATACACAGTCATACAGTATTCTAATCACGACAGTCAGAGACTCATTAATATTCAATACTTTTCATCTTCACATTTTTCAGCATTGTATTGGTTTTGTTTTCTTTACCACAACAATTTTCACAATTTATATATACTTTGATGCAAGGCTAACAGAAATACCACTTAAAAATTCTCCTGTGGAAATTATTCGCACAAATTTGTCTTTAATTTCTTATCTGCAGGCTCTCAACTGATTCTTAAGTGTGTTTGTAAGACTTGAATCTTTGTTCATTCAAGTGCATTATCTAACATTGTTTCACAGATTTTAACTGTTACCAGGAGTTTAATAGGGGAGTAAAAATTTTAAATATAGGTTTGAAGAGAGAAGCATTCTGCAAGCAATTCCTTTTGTAATTGCCATATAGCACACCTTTTGTTACCATTTTTGCTATAGCTAACCTGGAAACACGGAAATCATGTCAGTAAAATATCAAACAATTGTTAATTCTGTATAAATCATAACTCAGTAGAAATAGGATTGGCTTAGGTAAAATGGATTATAAATTCATTCAAAACCCTTTCATTAGGGCAAATTTTTTAATGGCGAAAAAGTGGAGATTAAAAATACAGCCCTCAAAATATTGGTCCCAGCACCTTAAGAATTTTCTGAAAGTTACTAAGATGGGAAGGAAGATTACACACACATTTTGATAAATGACCTTTCCTGGCCACTACTTTAGCTTGAAAAATAAAATATGATCCTCAGCTACCAACTTCTTTCACAATCTTACCTCAACCACTGTATTACCTACAATTAATAGAAGGAAATTTTAGTAATCTCATCCCTGCCAATTTCTACCTGGAGATTAGCATGTTTAAGCACTCCTATGCTCAGCGGTTGTCCTTGTGACAGACAAGCTAGTTAAATCTACACTGCAGGTCAAAACTCTCTCACAACATGCAAGTCACCAGTCAGAGCTCCAAATTTACATTCAACCTGAAAACTACAAGTGCTTACTGTATGCAGAATGATTAGATTTGCTCTTGCAAGACACATTTCTATTGAATGGAACATATCTTGTGCTTCCGCCTGCATAAAGGACTAGATTAGGCCCTCTACAAGTTTTTAGGAAATGTCCTCATTTAAAAGGTTTTTAAAATGAATCAGCAGCATTCTTGTTGAAGAGATTTGTTAAAATACAGAATGTGCACGTTGTGCATTCTGACATCAAATTAACTTTTTGTGTAACACATTAGCAATGTAGTTAAGAACCAATCCCAAATAAAGTATGTTAACTCCCATGTACAATACAAGAAAACCGTGGAGATACAAACTTTCTTTCTTTAAAAAAAAAAAAAAAAAAAAAGATAAAATTGAGTTACAAAAAGATCACAGGAGTATTTGCTAGTAATGATATTTGAAAAGCATCAAGATATACCAGTAGGTTTATGTTTGCATAAGATACACTGTACTAAAGTATTGTGAATGCAGGCAGAACTTTCACAGGTCGTTTTGTTCTCAGAATTCTCTTGCAAGAACATTCACAAACAACTAAGTCCTGAGGTAAGAAAGTATGAACCAAATATTTAAGCTTGAATTTTTCACAGTTCTTCATTTCTGGATCACTGAAATACAAAGCTGACAATATTTTTGATACTTTAGAAGTATCATCTCAACACACAGAGTCTTCTTTGTAATACAAAGCACGTTAAATTCATTGCTGCATACAAAACCTTAACCACATGAGCTGCGGTATTTGGATTAAGGGTGGGAAGAGAAACCAGATCATTGAAGATCCAACTCTGATAATACTTATTTTTGCTAATGATGTTTATTAGAAGAAAATATATCAATTTCAGCCTTTTTCTTGATAGGTCTTAATTAACATCCCATTTATATTCAGGTAAGGGAAAAACATAAATAAACAAAAGAAAAATACCACCACCAAAAATCCGAAAGGGCTTTAACTTCCCTACCAGTGAATGGAAGACAATGACTCATTCCAAATGTTTCCATATTTATTGTATCTAGACACCTACGTACCTGATTCAATGACCATTTTTCACCCTGTTCACATGTTTTCATTTCATTCTTGGCTTTCTCCATAATTAATTCCCTCCTCCTATGAAATTCTAGTTCCTCTTCAGCATTTTCTTTCTGAAAGATATATTACTCTTTAGGCTGTGAATCACTGGGAATAGAAGTGTATCTTTTTTTACATAACATTTTTATATCAGAAGTATTTCCAACAAGTACTGTGATGAAAAGCAAACTGTACAGTAAGCAGACACTACATCATTGCAGTTCCAGTGCTAAAAGATGGTCATTATGTCAATCTAAATAAACTTGGAGTATACTGAAAGGATTTAAAGAACAAAGCTAATATGAGGCATACTCAACATGGACTCATGAAGGGGAAGTCCTGCCTTGATAATTTGATCTCCTTCCATAAGATCACCTGTTAGGTGAACAAAGGGAAGGCAGCAGATGTAGTCTCCCTGTATTTCACTAAGGCTTTTGATACCACTCCTGACAGTGCATCCTTCTAGACACGTTGACCAACTTTGAGATAAAGAGATTCATGCTACGCTAGGCAATGAAATGGCTCAGAGAGTTGTAGTAAGTGGAGGGCTACAACTGGCTAGCAGACAATCACTGGTGGTGTTTTCCGGGGCTCAATCCTAGGGCCACTCCTGTTCAATGTTTTTACCAATGATCTGAATGCAGGATTGGAACGCATCCTCATCGAGATGATTAGTGATGCTGTACTGGGAGGTGCTGTTGTCCAAGATAGATATGAGGCCTTGCAGTGATTGAGATGGATCAGACCATTGGGCAATCATCAACGCCATGAAGTTCAACAAAGGTAAATGCCAGTTTTTGCACCTGGGACAGAGTAATGTTAGACACAGGTACAGACTGGGAGACATATGGCTGGAAAGCAGCCCTGCAGAAAGGATCTGGGACTGGTGGCAACAGCAGGCTCACCTTGAGCCACCAGTGTGCCCTGGAAGCCAAGTGGGCTCTGTAATATGGAAAGGATGCTAAGATTCTTGAGAGCATCTGGAGGAGGGTGACAAAGCTAGTAAAGAGCTACAGGGTTTGTCTTATTAGAAGGAATTGAGGTCCTGTTGTCCAGTCTGGAGAATAGAAGACCAAGAAGTGATCTCATTGCACTGTGCAGTTCCCTGCGGAGGGGAATTGGAGAGGTGGTGCCAGGCTCTGCTCTTGTGAACCTATGGCAGGAGCCATGGAACAGCACAAAGCTGTGCTAGGGAGCTTCAGACTGGATATTAGAAAAAATCATTTACTTATGAGAATCATCAAAAACTGGAACCAGCTTCCAAGAGAGGCAGTTGATGTCCCACACTTAGCCATGGTCAAGAGACATTTGGACAATGCTTCGTTCATATGCTTTAACTTTTGGTTAGCCTCAAAAGAAAAGGCAGTTTGACCAGATGATATTTCTAAGTCCCTTCCAACTGAACTATTGTATTCCATAAAGAATACTAATTCACCAGTCAAGATACATTTCAAATAACAAGCAATACATAACATACTATAAATTCCAAATCATACTTCATATACTCCTTCCATAACTGGTGACAGCGCATTAGGAAAAGAGTAATCATTAATTTACAAAATATTTTGGAGCTATCCTTAATGAATACTGTTTCCTTACACTAGAATAGGGATATTGGAAGAGAACAAGAATACACATAGTGAGCTGCGAACAGTAGCAATTGATTCTCATAGCCAACACAACACATGAAAAAGATGGCTGTATGGAAAGATGACTATCTTTCTACAAACTGAGTGGAAAAAAAGGAAAAAAATAACATGCAAAAGTAAGTGATAAACCCAGAAAATGAAGTTATTTGTGCATGTGTGTGTATGTATGTCTATACACACACATATATTATATACATAAATATATATATATAAATATATAGTATCTCTCTATATACACATATATAAACAACAATTACATTTAAATTTTGAAGAACTAGTTGTGTCCTCCAGTCTACCATAGTTTTCCTTTACTTACTTGGTAGATTAAAAATGGATGAAATTATTGGCTCATTTCCTGTCTTACCCCTCAAATATCTTATAATATGTTCATTAACGTACCTGGCCAAGGGAGGACATCTCCATCTGCATTTGACTGCTATGTATAAAGAAACAAATGTGAATATGTAATTTATTTTGTAGACTATTCTGCAACACTTCTGCTAACTAATAAGTTACAGATGAGATACAGAAGCAACAGAATTTTATCTCACAGAAACCACAGGACTGCTCTTCATTTATATGATTTTTTTTTTGTTAACTATTTAGTACTCAATTCAAGAATTCAACTATTCTCTGTATGATTCAAAATAAAGCCAGATAATTCCTTTGCCAGAAAAAGTGACAGCAGTGAACTTCAGCCCAAAAAGCAGAAAGATACGCTAAGTGAAAAAGCAATATCAAAACAGACTTTTAAGCTACAGAACAGTGTAGTCATAAGAAGAAATGGCTATATGAACTGGCCAAGGAAGGAGAAACAAGGACATTTTAGACTGGGAATGATAAGGAGGTGTCTACTGTTCAGAGAATTAAAGCTCTAGAAAGCTCTACATCATAGAATCAATGATGAAAAATTAGCTTCTTAGTTTTAAAATGAGCTTAATTTTTGAAAGGGATTACACACCGAAAAGCAATAGCAAGCACAGGGACAGAAGTACCTGCAACACCCATCAGTTCTTTCAAGCACGACAAGCTTCTGTTTGTTTTCCTTTAATATATTTAATCCTTTGTTTATTCACAGACCCAGTGTAATTCCACCTGACTTCAGACACTTAAAAGATGCATATAAATTAGACAGCCTTGCCTTCTATAGCCAGGAGAAACACCTTCACTAGTAGCATCTTCCCTTTTCTCCTTTTGACCTCAGAGAAAGACTACCAGAACTTCAGCACTACTTCAAGTATCTTCTTTATGCATCCCAGAAAGATGGGATGAAGCACATAGAAAACCTTCTCCAATTCCAATTCAAGTATTAACAAGAAGAGGAGTTTGTACAGACTAAAAGAGATAAGACTATTCTACAGGAAACTCAACAGAAGTTATAAATACATAAGACACCTGCTATTTTAAGCATACCTGTTGGGATCTTGTAACAAATCTACTGCTTCTCTTAGTTGTTCTATCATTGCTATATCAATAGTTTGTTCTTCTGACATATTTATTCTATAATAGAAAACAAAAGCATTCAAAAAAAGAAAAAAAAAAGAGGTAGAACAGCAATTATCAGGGGTTGTCTCAATTTCAATTTGTGAACTCTACCTTCTAACTAAGCATGCAGCTAATACAGAGGGAAGGTAAAAACAGCCTCTGTGCAAACTAATAAGTGCTGAAATTTATGTAAAGAGTGTCTTCAGAAAAAAATCACCAGCACCTTGCCTTCAACAAAACTTCCCAAACTAATACACACATACAAAAAAAAAATGTAATGAACTAAGAAACTAGGATCTTTGCATATCCATTAAACAGACCAACTTCAAAAGCTGACTCCTATTAACCACATTCACCACATAAATTATTACAGAATGTGACAGTTCTTTTTAATGGACCACAGCATGCTTTCTTTTGCTTTTCAAGATTTGGTTGTTGTTGCTGTTGGTTGTTTTTTCTTTTTTTTCCTTTTTTAATTTATTAAAAAAATCTTCTGATAGTTCTGCCAACAGTGTTCTTTTGGAACATGCTTATTTTTCCCTCCTTTCAATTTTTATTTCTAATCACATAGGACTCCACTGTTCTGAGGTGAGAACTTCACAGTACACTGTCATGCTAGAGCTGTTTTTCTTATGAACACTCTTCACTGACTGATGTTCACTGACACTGCACTTGAGCTAATACCTATGAACTATTGATTGTTTCAGGGTTAAAATTATGACAAAGTAAGAAAAAAATTTTGAAAAGAAATCCTGTGCATTAGATTTTACAAGTCAAATTGAATTTTTAAAAACAATAGCATAAGCAGACTACATATCAAAATACCTAATTTTAAAACCCGGGCTCTACATTGGCTAAAAAATGCCAAATTACAGCTTTATTAGCACATACACATTAGTTGCAAGCTAAGACCCATTTGATTAATCAATAACATACAACACACCACATTCACGCACAGAAAGCTGCACTGCTGTATGCTTTTAAGTCTACAAAATTCTTAACTGAGAAGAAAACACCAGATTTAGTCATCTAATGAAATGATACAGTTAATTACTTACAGACAAAGCAATACTTACATTTCTTCTGTTTGCCATTGTGCGTCCTCTTCAATTCTCAGTAATTCATCACACTCTGCTGCTCTGCTCTGTAAGCAGACAAAGTGATATTAAGAATTGAACTTTGCAATTAAACAAGCAGATAAGTTTTCCTTTCAGACTCAGCAGTGACCTATTTTATTTAACAGTTCAGGGTGGCTAGTTGAAGCAATCCAACACTTCTGCTTCACATCTCACTCTATCCCCTTTTAAGATACTCATTACATGATCTTATTTTCATTGTTGAGATTTTATTGAGGTCAACAGCCCTTACCCTCCTTTAACTGCAAAAAGAAAGTCAAGTAGCATGAGAATTCTTCATTCTATGCCCCAGATTTCATTTGTGCCTTTCTCGTGTACGCCAACAATGGTTCAATTGAGCACGACTCTAGCTCTCATCTTATTTACTCTCCTCCCACATAAAGCTACATTTACAGAGCAAGGAAATTCCAAACAGACAAACTAACAATTATGTATTTAATCCATAACTATTAATAGGATTCCTACTTGGTAATTTTAACAGCTCTGTTTAAAAAAATCAAATCAAAACAAAACTGACATGCTACAGTTCAAATCAGTTGGCCTGTTATTTGGGATTCAGTGTAGGAATAAATCACAGCCTCCATTCTATTCATAACTGTGAAATGCTACATGTTAGAAAATTGAAGTCCCTTACTTATGCTTTCATTTACAATCTTAACAAGAAAGAAACTTTGAAAATTTCTCTTTCTTGGATGAATTACTGAAATAATTCAGCTGTCACTAAAGACAGAAGCTCTATGAGTAGAAGTGTAGTAGTTATAGAAATAGAGAATAAACAGCAGAAAACAAGCCTATCCTTTTTTTGTGTCATGGGCTTGGCACATCTGTCGCATCACCCTGTACCAATAAACACTATCCAGTTCTGTGAGATGTGTCACTGAAGGGTATACCAGCTCCTTTAACATTCCCCAAGGATGACACATTTTCCAGTAACAATCCTTAGTAGAACAAATAAAGCCATTCTTCACTCTTTTTTTTCAAGTTACTGATACAGAAATGAATCATATGATTTTTCCCATAACAAGGACACATTAAAAAAAACTAGCAATTGTTCTAGAAGGCAAATCTCAGCCTCTGACATATTTATATAAATAGATATTGCCTTACAAATCAGGAATAACTTACGAAAACTACAGATTTACCAAGCCTGAACTCTTCTCCACTGCCTCTGGTATTGATTTAACGTTTTCACAGAATCACAGAATGGCCAGGGTTGGAAGAGACCTCAAGGATCATGAATCTCCAATCCCCCTGCCACACACAGGGCACCAACCTCCCCATTTAATATCAGACCAGGCTGCCCAGGCCCCATTCAACCTGGCCTTGAACACCTCCAGGGACGGGGCATCCACAACCTCTCTGGGCAGCCTGTTCCAGCACCTCACCACTCTCTCTGTAAAGAACTTCCCCCTGACATCCAACCTAAATCTTCCCTCCCTCAACTTAAAACCATTTCCTCTTGTCCTGCAGTTATCTACCCTTTCAAAGAGTTGATTCCCCTCCTATTTGTAGGCTCCCTTTAGGTACTGACAGGCTGCAATGAGGTCACCCTGCAGCCTTCCCCTCTCCAGACTGAACAAGCCCAGCTCCCTCAGCCTGTCTTCACAGGAGAGGTGCTCCAGTCCCCCGATCATCTTTGTGGCTCTCCTCTGGACCCTCTCCAATGGCTCCCTCTCTTTCTTTTACTGAAGGCTCCAGATCTGGACACAGTACTCCAGATGGGGCCTCACAAGAGCAGAGTAGAGAGGGACAATCGCCTCCCTCCTCCTGCTGGCCACCCCTCTTCTGATGGAGCCCAGGATACCATTTGCTTTGCTATTTTTTTGTTAACCAGAAATTCAGTTTCAGAAGTCTCAAAATGCATGCTAGTACATGAGCACATATAAACCAAAGAATACAACTGACTCAAATCTCCAAAAGAAAATGCCCGAGGTTCAAAATCCTCGGGTAAAAAAAAAAAAAAAAAATGCACTTATCTGTTCAAGTCATCAACTACTGCTCTCAACTGCCATAATGTTAAGAAGGTAACAGAAAATTCCAAGAGCTTGCTTTGGCAATATTGTCATACTGACATTCAATACAGTAGCTTCCCTTACTGAACCACTGTCCCGCTACACATTATTTCACATCATACTACTTTATTACATGACAGAGGTTATTCCCAAGGGAATAGTATTTGCTAAGGAGAATCAAGATGATGAACGTACAAGAACAAGCAAATAACAAGCACATACAGAATATAATCAGTCAACTTCAGATGTCTGTACTTCTACCTTTGCAAAAGAAGATGAAAACATTCTAATCCCCTTCTGTCTAGTTTATTCACCTCAAATGTGTACATTTGTTGAAAATCTTTATGCAGGAAACCTACAATGTGTTAACCTTTTTACAGCAAGCTTTTAGTAAAGAAATCACTAAAGAACAAGCCAATAGAAGGTAACTCATTATGTCCTAAACACTCAGCATAAATAATTCTTACAGTCAGTGAAGTTTTAGGCAATAAATCATTTGTGACCATAAATGCTGTTGAGTTCAGATCTGTACTTGTAAGTAATAGAAATAACAAGCAACAAGTGTATGCACTGAGTAAATAAAGTTTCCTGATAACTAACAGAGGAGGTTGTCACCTCAGAGGCTAGAAACAGTAAAACAGGATCTGTGAAGTTTTGTTGCTAGAAAAAAATAGAAGTTGCACAAATTGAGATTTTTTTTTTCAGAACCAACAGACTGGTTTTTTTTTTTTCTGTTTCCAAGAAGCTGAAAGGTAGTAAGTTTTCTCTTTCCAAGTATTACCTTTCAGCACACATTTTTCAGTAAGTGATACAACACAAAGATAGTACACAGCCTCTTCACATTCCTCAAAACTATCCACAAAAGAAGAAAACTGGTCCAGAAATATATATATTAAAAATCTTTTCTGGTCTATAAATCCAGTAGAGACTTCACTTCCACAAGAACGCTACAAAACACCACTTTCTTAAATATCTTCTTGCATTACAACATTTTGAGCAAAAATATCCAGCAAATAAATGTCAGGATAAAAAGTACGCACTTGAAACTTCATTACAATCTTTCAAAACTTACCTAATTATGTTTTTAAAAATAAATAAACTATTCGGCAGTTCTTGCTACATAATAAAGTATATTTCTTGAGTTCCCACACAGTGGTAATTACTACTGATTCACTGTTCATTTCTATGGGTCTTATTCTAGCTTTGCACTACATCAATTATAATTATAAATCTATTTTTGCATTCTGCGTCTTTTATGACAATGAATATTAACTGTGGTGTTTTATACATTAAAATGTCTGCAGTTCCTCACTCCTGATTGCTCTATGCTTAGGAAAGCAGTGAAAATATTTTCTGCCACTAAGAACTGAACACACACTTGCCTTAATGTAGCTCATGAATTCTGTAGTAAGAGCATCTGATTCATCAAGCCGGATTCCTGTCTCTCTTGATTTATCGTTGACAATCAAGTGAGAAGATCCCTGATGGAATTCCACTGAAAACAACAACAAAAGAAGACAAAATTATTTCCGGTTCAGCAGAAAATTTGCTACTCACGAGAACACTAAAATTATGAGCTGAAAACCAAATGAACTCAAGTTTAAGTTCAAATCATATTTAAAAGCCTCAAAAAAGTGGAGACTGTTGCATTCAAGGGAGAGATGTCCATTCATTGCAAAGTTTTAATAAATCAATATCCCTGGCTCAATACAGCTGTATATCAAAAACAGCACAACAAGCACTGATTGCGTCAGTTTTTAACTACATGAAACATGCCTTGCCAGTACTGGTACGAGAACACAGTTGGAAAGCTACAGAATTATTTCAGGACAGTCGTGTCTCAGTCACTGACTAGCAGTTTTTTATGCAACTTAGAAGTTATGATGTGCAACAAACATCCAAAACTCTCAGCAGAAGTCGGTCACAATGATTCAGCCTTGCAAACAAGGCAAATCTACTGTTTAACTACACTGTTTCTAGGACTATATACACCTTTAATTCTCCTGCTTGAAACAGTTTGATCCCTTAGTCTTACTATATCAGTTGTATATTACTACATTCTGATGAGAATCTCAACTGAAATTCATTTAATCTAGCATGAAGCATTCATGAAATGCTGATTTCTATTTACACGGTGTCCAGCTCACTGATATTATCCTGCAACTTATCATTAGTATGTGCAGATCATGAGGAATCACCTTTCATCAGTACATAAGTAACATTAATGAAGGTGTAACTTCAATAAAATATAGATATAACTACACACACTGTCACTCCACTTTTATACACTGCTAATTCAGAATCTGAGCTGGTACTTGACAAAGTTATTAGACACTGAGATTACTGACTTGGAAGTGTGTTTTAAAATCACAGAATGATTTGAGTTGAAAGGGACCTTTAAGATCATGTAGTTCCAACCCCCTGCTATAGGCAGGGACACCTCCCTCTAGACCAGATTGATTCTCATTTTTCTTCCCCTGATGAGAAACAGAATTTATTAACCCTTGAGACAAGGTGCAAGAAGTTCATTGAAACCATCACCAAAAATGACTATACTCAATTCGGTATAGTTTAAAACTGGTGTAAGTAAAACCTTTTTCTGTTTTAAATGACTGCACAGGCATACTTGAAAGCCTCTTGGATAAGAAGGCATTTACTACGAAGAAATTAATTGTAAAAATTCTTACTGATTGATTATAATATCAGCAAGAAAAGCAACTTAAGGTATTTATCCAGAGCAAAAACAAACAATGAATATTCCAGTGAAAAACAGTGGTAACCACAATGGTTCTAAGTTCCTGTTTTTAGACAGAAGACTAGAAAGACTAATCAGTACTCGCTGTGCTGTGACATTTTCAGACTCCATTTACAGTCTTATGCAGTTATCAACAGAAATTTCCTGTTTTTAACCTCCACAGTTTTGACATTCCAACCTTTTCTTGAGTTAGCATGGTGACCTGAATCTTCCTTTACAACCTGATCTTCTTCCACGATGTCTGACATTGGAACATTAAAGCTGATAGTATCTTCATCAGACGGCTAAGAAGAAGTCAGAGAAACATTTTCACACTAAATCCAAGGTTGATAAAAATACATGCTTTCACTAAAAAGCTAACAACTTCAGGAACTGCAATAACAGCAGAGTAGTTTCTAAGCCTCTTTGAATGGACTGCATGTTCTTACAGTTATGTAAAGGCTTTCCCAAATAATTGGCAACCACTGTGTTTATATGTGTTCCTGTATTTAACAGAGTATAACTGGATTCATTTTCTATTTGCTTTGGCAGAATTGCAAATTCAGTATCTAAGCTTGATTCTTTCCAAACAAGTGTCAAAAGCAACAGATTTTTCCTCAAAGGAAGAGAAAAATACATGAAAATTATTGCTTTTTTTTTTCTTTTTGCTTTTTTTTTTAAAGTAGGAAGAAAACTATTCTTTTATACTCATTGAGTCAGACCACAAATTCTTTTAATTATACATTTCAGAAAGATTCTTACTGAAGTACAAGTTACTTACTTATTTATAATTATTATGAAGTCCAACTAACTGCTCATTTGAATACCTAAGAAAAGACTTCCCAGGAATTAGTGCTCTGTTCAGCTGAGTAGAGCCTCAGAAAGAAATTCTAGGAAACATGTAACTGTAGCTGTAACTGCTTAGTACAACATCACTCTCAGGAAGTCAACCTTTTTCTTTGCCCACTCACACAAAATAGCTCAAGAAAAATTCAGAAGGCTTATTTCCAGCACTGCCTAACTGCCAGAGAACGGAAAGACACAGCATAGATGCACATGAAGATGCGCAAAAATTCTGAAGCTCCTGCTCTCCAGAAAACTTCCATAACCACAACACCACAGAACATATCAGCACTGAGAATACGAACTCAAGTTAATCTCCCACATGAAAAATTCAGAAGAGGAAACTAGGAGCCAGACATACAACATTTGTATAACATTTATTTGGTTGGAACGAGTAGACAGCATTCTGGTTTGGACTCCATTTTCTAGATTATCACTTAAAACTGGCTGAAAATTGTACTGAATTTTTTCTACTGGTGTTAGTAATTTGTCATCAAGTATCTCACTGCTATCTTCCAAAAACATGGATACAAAACTGGAAAAAAATCCCAATCTTCTTTTATCTTTGTTTTAAAGTTTTATGAGTGATAAATTCATGCCATGGACGTGGTTGCACAGTTTTCATAGCTAAAAATGTAGCTATACCTATTAAGAAATAAGAGTGTGGAGAAAGGGGCAACTTACCTCTGTTGCTGACAAACGCTTATCACCATTGTCACTACCAACACCTGAATCCGAGTCCTTTTTACTTGGGTAGAGGTCATCAATGCTAGATGTGAACAGAAAACAACTGAAAGGTATCACAGCATGTACAGTTAGAATTCTGTCCCATTTTCACTTCGAGAAAAATTCCAACAATTATCAATGTCAGTGAAGAAATCATAGAGTCATAGAATCCTTTGAGTTGGAAGAGACCTCTGAAGGATGTCTGGTCCAATTCCCCTACAGTGAACAGGAACACCACCACTAGATCACTCTGCCCAGGGCCTGATCCAGCCTCACCTTGAAAGTCTTCATGGATGGGGCATCAACCACATCACTGGGCAACCTGTTCCGGTGCCTCACCACCCTCACTTTAAAAGACTTTTTCCTTATGTTCAACCTAAATCTGCCCTCTTTAAGCTTGAAGCCATTTCCTCTTGTTCTAACACCACAGGCCCTGCTAAAGAGTCTGTCCACTTCTTTCCTGTAGCTCCCCTTTAGATACTGAAAGGCCGCACTCAGGTCACCTCACAGCCTTCTCTTCCCCATGCTGAACAGCCCCAGCTCTCAGCCTGTCCTCATAAGAGAGGTGTTCCATCCCTTGAATCATTTTTGTGGCCCTCCTCTGGACCCACTCCAACAGGTCCGTGTCTCTCCTGTGCTGACTCCACATTTGGACGCAGTACTCCAGGTCAGGTCTAACCAGTGCAGAGCAGAGGAGCAGGATCACATCCCTCACCCTGTTGGCTACACTGCTTTGGATGCAGTCCAGGACACAATTGGCCTTCTAGGTTGTGAGAGCATATTGCTGTCTCATGTCCAGCTAACATCTACCAGTACCCCCAGGTCTTTTTCGGCAGGGCTGCACTCAATCCTTTCTTTCCCTGTTTTGTATTGGTAGCAGGGGATGCCTTGAGGCAGGTGAAAGATCTTGCAATTAGCTTTGTTGAACCTCATGAGATTCACCCGGGCTCACTGTTCAAAGCTCTCCAGGTCCCTGTGGATGACATCTCATCCCTCTGGTGTATTGACTGCATCGCACAGCTTGGTGTCATCTGCAAACTTGCTGAGGGTGCATGCAGCCCCACTGTCAACGTCACTGATGAAGACACTAGAGTATTGGTTCCAGCACTGACTCCTGCAGGACACTACTCATCACTGATCTCCATCCAGACATTCAGCAATTGGCCACCACTCTCTGGACTTGATCCACTGCAAGCAAGTTCTTTGTCCATCAAACAGTCCACCCATCAAATCCACATATTCCCAATCTGGAGAGCTAAATGTTTTGGGGTGCCATTTCAAAGGCCTTACTCACCTCCCTGCCTTTCATGTGCCTTAGCACAGCTTCCAGGAGGATCTACTCCATGATCTTTCTGGGCAGAGGTGAGACTGACAGGTCTGTAGTTCCCAGAGTCATCCTTTTTCCCTTCTTAAAAATGAATGTGATGCTGCCTTTTTTCCAGTCACCATCAGGGACTTCACCTGATTGCCATAACTTTTCAAATATCATTGAGAGTGGCTCGGCAGCTACATCAGCTAATTCCCTCAGGACTCTAGAATGCATTTCATCAGGACCTACAAACTAGCTTAGTATGGATACAAACTACACATCTGCAGTCTGCTAGTAGTAAAGTAGGATGATGGAATGGTTCATTAGCTTATGGATTAATGAAAACAACAGAACAATCCATCATAAAGGTTGTTGCTTTTGTCTGTGCGCTGGACAAAAATATTTAGCTAATAGCCAAGTAGCACAGGATTCTGACTGAAGTAATTTAGCCATGTCACAGAAAACTACACTAGCTGAACTCAAACTGGAGTCAACTAATTTAAAAGTAACCATCAATCCATTAAAAATGAACTGTTAACTCCCTGGAGCTTGGAGTAATTATTAACATAGAAACCTCCTTTGGAGGCTTTAAAATAGATTTTGAAGTTTAATATTTCCAGAAAATGACTATAATAATTGCAACTGCCATCTCTTCAGGATTTTTATTACTGCCTAATATTACCTCTGCTCATTTTAAAGTACACCAATAGATGAATACACTTATCAGTTAACTATTTTTTTTTCCTTTACTTCCTTCTCATTTGCAATTCTGAATGTTGCAAACCTAAATTGAGATTAACACAGCGATTTTGAAAAGTGCTTTAACAATCTTCACATGAAGAAGGTATTTGATTCAGCTTAATCTCTGATTATCTGCTATCAGTAAACTCAAAAGATTGGAGACATTCAATAGCCATCTGGATGTAAACCTCCAGCTGTTCTTGCTTGGGGCAGGGTGGGTGGGCAGATATAGGGGGAAGGGTGATGTGTTAGACTATTTGAATCTAAGTACACTGTGATTTTTATCAGTACTGTGGAAATCTTAACCAGGTTGTTGTTTTCCTTTTGAAGTGTGAAATAATTCTCTAAAGCAAAGGATCATATTTTCCAACTAAACAAAATATACACACATTCAAATCGTTAACTGAATAAAATACATCATAAGAAAATTAAAGGTTAAACAGTAAGAATACATCCTCAAGCATCTATTTTAGCTTCAGTACTTTCTCTGTGACAGAACACTGAACTGCTAGTTATCAGCTGGTATCCTTTCTGTACTAGACCTTTAACAGAATATTGATAGGGTGACTCTAAAACAGCTTTTTTTTTATCCCTCAGAGTCTTAGCAACATCTCTGTTTGTATTTTCATCAACATTTTGTTTTTGCTGGGCATCCCCATAATTTTTCCATGGTTGTTTAATATAAACTTCTCACACTGGCAAAGAAAGAGCTGGCTATGATTTAGTTTCCAATTAGCTACAAAGATTCCCATAAAAAGGATCTCCCTCTCTTGGTCTAAGAAATTGAAGACACTGTCTTTCATTTTGCCAAATAAATTATTAATAAAATTTAATTTCACTTCAAAAGAATATCAACACTCACTCAATTCCCTTTGTTGGATGAATTAGATTAGATGTTAGGAGGAATTTATTTACCCGGAGGTGAGTGAGGCACTGGCACAGCTGCCCAGAGAAGCTGTGGGTGCTTCACCCCTGGAGGCATTCAAGTCCAGGTTGGATGGAGCTTTGGGCAACCCCATCTAGTGGGTGGTAACCATACCCACTGTGGAGGGGGTTGGAATTGGATGGCTAAGATCCCTTCTAACTCAAGACATTCTGTGATTCTATGATGAAAAAAAGCTTAACAGAATTACAGAACTCTAATAACACATATATCACAAAATGAAGCAAGAAGTGAATTTCTTTTTAGTATATTAATAGATTTACAATGAAGATCCAACACCAGGTTATACTACCTTCTTAATTACTTTCAATATATTCCAGTAGTATACTAGTAGGTTAAATTTAAGCAAAGGCTTACTTCCAAGCTCTTTCCTAACATGCTGCTGACTTTAATCAGAATCAGTTGTTAAAAATATTTTATTCTAAATCCTTCTAAGGGTTTCATAAGAATAAAATAAAGCAAAAGAAAGTTCTGCTTGGAAAAGAGCTGTCTAAATGGAACCTAAACAACAAAAACTGTAGAAGCTAAGGATAAAACCATTTTTCACTTTGTTCCAAGATAATAAATATTACACGCAAAAAATAAGATTGATCTTTATTCGTACCTTTCTTCCACAGGTTGTGGCAAATGTGGCTGTTCTATGGCATTAAGATACAGTGAGTCTGCTGTTTTAATCTGACAGGCCTGTACTGTCAGATATTTGAATATATGCACCTTCCCCTTTGTACAAATCTGTTAGGAAAAAAAGATGGGTTTATATGTAGAAAAAAGGAAACGTATTCCAAATTTCGCTTAGTGTAAAACTACTTGAAAACCAACTCATGAGGTCACAATAGAAATAACGTAAAGGAAAACAGGATTGTATTTTTAAAGAAATGATTAAGAACAACTTTAACAAGCGAATCAATTGAGTGCATCAGTATGGATACTCTGAGAAAACAGCAAAAGAATGTATTATATTTTAGAAAATCCAAATTCTCTCATAAAGAATTATGATTAATAAAACATATTTAGGCCTATTGCCAACTGTAAACTAAGTCATTATTTTACAAAATTAGTCAGCAGTAACATTTAATTAACCAATACATCCTTTACACACTGTCATACTGGTTTTATGGTGTTCAAGCATCTTTATGAAGCATTTCACTTGCCTTTACATTCTTTTCTTTGACTGCACTCTAACTCACATGCTTCCTGGGTGACAGGATGAGGGGAAATCGCCTCAAGTTGCACAAGGGAAAGTTTAGGTTGGATATCAGGAAACAATTCCTTACAGAAAGGATTGTTAAGCACTGGAATAGGCTGCCCAGGGAGGTGGTTGATTCACCATCCCTAGATGTGTTTGGATGTGGTGCTCAGGGACACAATTTTGTGGAGGGTTGTTAGAGTTAGGGTAGTATGATTAGGTTGTGGTTGGACTTGATCCTTAAGGTCTTTTCCAACCTGAGCAATTCTATGATTCTATGTTTTGAGCTTAGTAATTGCATCACCACGATTAGTTAAAGAAAGGAGCTTCTCTAATGTAATAAAAACTCTCAAATACTTCAACAGCTGCTGATCTAAAACAAGTGTACTAGATCAAGTTTGAATCTAGGGTCCAGTAACTCAACAAAGTTGTCCTTAAGCAGCAAACAGAAGTTCCATTTATGATCATTTCTCAGCATAGTCTACATTTGTAACAGGATCTTAATTTCCTCTACTGTAAATTTATTGTCATACATAGAGCAAAAAAAAAATAAAAAAATTAGTCATGTAGATTATGTTCTAGGCTGTCAGAATATGTATTTATTATGCATAGTAAATAAAAGCAAAAAACTTTCTAGAAATGGGCTTTTATTAACCCAGAACCGCGAGTTGGAAGACCATGACCAGGGAAACAAAATCCCAGGCAGCTCTGAACACCTGCAGGATTTGCTGCTTCAGCTGGTTTTCAGGGCCCAACAAAATTTTTCTCCTTCAAGGACAAAGAGGCCACCCAGAGAGATCTTGATAAACTGGGCTGGGCAATCACTAACCACATGAAATTTAACAAGAGCAATTCTATATCTGGGACAGGGCAGTCCTGGATATGTATAGAGAGCGGGAAACAAGAAGTTGGAGAGCAGTCCCACAGAAAGGGATCTTGAGGTTCTGGTTGTTGGAAACCAGAGTCAGCAGTGTGCACTGGCAATCAAAAGAGCCAATCATGTCATGGACTGCTAGGCAGGTAATGGAATGGACCACACCACTCTGCTCTCTGTCCGTGCAGTCTCACCTCAAGTCCTGTGTACAGTTTAGGGCACAACAAAAGAAGAACATAAAACTGTTAGAAAGTGTCCAAAGGAGGGCTATGAAGATGGTGAAGGATTTGGAGAAGAAGACCTATGAGAAGCTGCTGAAATCCTATGGTTTGTTCAGCTTAGAGAAGAGAGACTGAAGAGAGGCCTCATGGAAGCCTACAACTTCCTCACGAGGGAAAGGCAAGGGCAGGAGCTGATCTCTTCTCTCTGGTGACAGTGGCAGGACCCACAGAAAAGGCATGGAGCTGCATCAGAGGATGCTCATGCTGGATTATCAGGAAAACGTTCTTCACCAGAGGGTAGGCTGGGCATTGGAACAGGCTTCCCAGGCCAGAGGGCACAATCCCAATCTGCCAGAGTTCAAGTACTGACTGTAAATGCTCTCAGGTTTGAATTTTGGGTGGTCCTGCATGGAGACAGTAGTTAGACCTTGTGGATCCCTTCCAACCTGTGCTACTCTATGATTCCATGATTTATCAAGGAAGTTTCCCAACAACCTTCTTTTAGAAATTATACACATATACATTAAGTTTCAAATGGAGATAGGAGCAACAAAATGAATAGGTAGCTAACAGTGGAAATCTTTCAAAACAGCATTGGTTCAAGTAGTGTACAGACACAGAGAATATAGGACACTTTGTCTTGTTTATATAGTCACAGCTAATGCCTGTCATTACTCAAATTCAGATACCTGCAATTGCAGAAGCTGACATTTTATAGACTAAGTCATCATCCACCCAATATTAAGGCACAATTTAAATGACAGATGTTACTTACTTGTGCTGGTGGAGATTGCAAAGGATTGTTCTCAAGCAGCAGTACTTGTAACTGTGCCATCTTTCTAAAACAAATGGGAATCACAAGCACCTTATTGCAGGAAAAGTCAAACTTCACCAAGGGAAGCTGTACTAGTTCTAAAAACAATAGAAAAGACAAGAGGTATTATAGCTGCAGTGATTTTTTGTAATTAAATAATTTTTCTAAATAAACTTTTTTATTTGCGTCATCAGAAAAGAAAAAGAAGGACTATTATTCCTCATGTAATAAAATACAGGACATAATATCCTCTTTCCTCCCCTCCCCCCTCTTTCTAAAAAATACAAATTCTGACAGGAATGTTTTGTTTTTCTGTATAGAACAGAGGAAAAGAATGTTAATGAAACACAAGTGACAACAGATTTTAAAACACTTAGAAGCAGCTGACAGTTATCTGCATTCACAGGTAAGCATCTGTGCAGCTTAAGATACCTAGAATCATAAAGATAATTAATTAAAATCTTCAATGCTATTGTCTCCAGACACACAGTGAACTCAAATAGAAAACATTTCAACACAAGGTAGTTATTTTCTATTATTGCTTACTCACACAATTAAAGACTTTCAAAATACCAAAAATCCTAATGCCTTTATTATAGATTTTTCATAACTCATACCTTGGGGTAAAACTTCGAGGTAATTTCTTCTGACATTCAGTTCTTTTAAAGATTTCAGCAGGCCTATCTGTTGTGGCAAAGTTGTGATTTCATTGCAGCTGACATCCTACAGCAAAAGAAACAGAAATAATGAACTTTTGTCTGCAAAGTGAGAAATTGTAGCTAGTATGTTATTATCAGGGTAACATTTTATTGAACTGAAAACACACAACTATCAGCAGCCTGCCTTCAGTGGGCAAAGTGAGACGTGAGAAAATATTTACATGTTATTCACAGCCCAGAGCAAATATTTATTTAGAAGTGAATTTTGAAAGTGAATTCTGTACAAACATTCAGAACAGTTTGTTTAACACGTTCTACCTCTTTGCTCACATATGTATTTCAGCAACATGATTATATAAACTAGAAACCATTTGGATGATGTATAAAACTGTTACTGTGTGAGTTTGAGTTTTAAAAAGATTCTTATAGAGAAAATACTAAAGCAAAAGTTAAAAATAAATAGAAAACAGAAAAATGTCCAGAGAAGGCACGTATTCAATCAAATAGCAGGCCACACTAAAATAGAGCAGGCCTTGCTTGTAATTACAAGTTATTTAACATATTACTGTAACAGCTCATTCTTACAAGCCTAGACAGGTTCTAAACAGGTCTAATTTTGAGGTCTAAATTCAGCTGGTTTTAGAGTGCTGGAACCAGTGGTCATTTTAGCATTTCCAAAGGAATAACCACTGTAAAGTTGAGCTAAGCTTAAGGTGTTGAATGTTGCTAAGCAAGTGAATATTGTTTTAAGGAAGCAATTCCTATACACCAGCATTACTGTGAAGTATGATATTTTTATGATACTATCGCTATTAAGTTATCACAAAAAACTGCCATTAATCGGTTCTAAAAAAATAAAAATCAACTTATTGGATTAAGTCAGTCTAAAACAAGATAGTTATCACATATTAGCTATCCCTTTTACTGCCAAACTGTCTAAACCCAGTATGGAATCAGAAGGGCATTGAAACCTGTGGCTAAATGCCAGGTAATCTGTCAGTTTCAACCACGTTACTTTCTGAATAGAAAATAGAGAAAGCCTTGTATCATATGAGAGCCAAGTGGGGTGTAATGCCAAATTTTCCCCAACAGATTAAGGGTAAAATCCTTATATACCCCTTTCAGAGGGTTCATGGCCATTCTTGATTGTTTCAGACGATGGATTTGTACAGCACATGGGAGCTCTTCAACAACAGAATTCCTCAAAGTCAGTCAGACTTCCAAGTCATCTCCTTGAAGATGGCTGCTTTAATACTAGTGAAAAGCATTACATTAACTCTGTACCTTCGCTTCTAAAAACTAGTTAATGCAAAACAACAGTAATAGCAAGATCTGATCTGGCAATGTCATTCTTTTTATCAGATGTGTTTCTTCTCATCATCTCACTGTTGCCAAAATTTCCTTCCCTTGTCAAAACAGAGTCAGGGAATTTTAGCTTTAAGACAAGGAAATTAAAAACACCAGTTAACGAGTGCTTCTTTTATCCAAACTATGGTGCTGTTAATTGCAATGTCCCCAGATCATTTATTTTTAAAGCTTTACTGTCCTATTTTCAATTTACAAACTTTAAGTGAGTTTATTATTAGACACTCATCTTTAGAGCAAAAAATTGAAATTCAAAGTCACCTTGTGGCAGAGAAACTCTAGATCAAGTACACTTACATGCACATCAGAACAAGTAAGGGAAGAAGAGTTTTAAAGGAAGTGCAAAAGGAACGTCTGACAGTGCGGAGCCTCAAAGCATCCACAAAAAGACTAATCTCTTATGACAGCCATGTCAGTACTCACCAGAGCTCTGCAGACAGTTGTATCCTACTAATCTAACCAGATATTTATATATATTTTTTATTACTATGCATAAATAGAGAGACCTATTATATTATTTCCAGTTATACTTACTATACTTTATGAGTATATATGTGACAGTGTTTACCTTAAACTTTCCAATTACTTTGGTTATATTGCTTTCATTATTGCCAAAGTCAAATGCCTGTGTTTTTCAAGCCAATTACATTTTTGGAGAAATGTGGCAATTAGCAGTTTGGAACTTCACTTGATGGGCATCCACAGATAGTTGAAATCAAGTCCAAACTACTACTCAGGTTACAGGGCTAGTCTTTGCTAAAGGTCAGACTTCTTGCATTAACATCATTATGTCCTCATTGGTTATTTGCTAGCATGACAACATGGATAATTTCTCACAATTAGAGAAAAGTAAGGCTCCCTGAAATTTAACAGCAACTTCTGTGGCATGCAGCTCAATGCCTTTAAGACAACTATCGGACTACACAGAAGAACCCTACCCTACAATTTAAAAGAAAATGTAAAAATTAACATTACTTAATGTACCAGTCATTCAATGTCACAGCTACTAAATGCTTCTAAACATAAAAATGTAATAAAAAAAAAAAAAAAAAAAAAGAAGAGAAGGAAGAAAACAATTATTTGGGAAGACCTGACTTAACCTGTAGCATAACTGCTGTTACCTTTCCAGAGTGACCACAGAAGTAAAACCTGTTTCAAAAGTTAGATTAAAAAAGAAAAACCATTTGCTATGTACATTCAGATTTACTGCAAGCAGCCTAGGAAAAGCTGTAAAACACTGAAAATCTGATGCTTGCCAAAGTGCTGGTAAACCAAGAACCGAATGCAGGCAGTTGGTGTCTGCCACCTCTCAGGACTGATCCCTTGGGCCAGGCCAGCATCAGCACTGTGTGTGTCCCAAAACAAGAGCATGCCCTGCCAAGGAGCTGCCTGGTAGTGTCACCTGCATGTTATTCAGGCTGGCATTGCTCTCACACAGCTGAACATTTCATGCAACAACAACTGCAGCATGATCTAATCTTTTTTTTCCCCTCTATTCGTTCTAGAATAACAACCACTTTATTATCTAAGCTGCATGATGGTAAATATAACTATCCAGATACAGCTCTCAATTCAGTGCTTCATCCCAGTCATTTCGAGCTCAATAATGCAACTTATTTCATTGGAAACGTTCAAAGTACTCATGGTAGAACCAACCTAAATAATGAGGGCATCTGAACCGAAGTACACCTAATCTAACAAGAATTATTATTCACCCCTTCAGTTTAACAGTTTAACAGTTCTGTCCAGTCATTCTACGCCCTAAGTTAGGATGTGTTTAGTACTGCTCAGCCATAAATAAGACTGGACCTATAATTTCTTACTGAACCTATTTTAAGCACAATAGAAACAATGCTACAGCCTGACATGTTTTTGAAGGTAATTCAATCAAAACAATTTCAGTAACCTGATTAAATCCCTTAAGAAAAGTACTTCAAACTGCTAGATCAATTATTAATACTTACTAAGAATCAGTAAACAGTAATAGAACAGAACTGGCAGTGTTTAACTTGGATATAAAAGGTAACTTCTTCCCTCCCCAAACCAGATTCATTACAATAAATAGTATAAGCCTGATACAACAAAGTGTTGTACAGGAAAAAATGGAAGAAAGGAGAAAGCCCCATAGTTGTTGCTTCACATATGAGGACTCAGGACCAGCACTGGCTCCTAAAGCAAGGTTAGCTCAAAAGAATTCAGTGGAGAAATTATTATTATAAAAATGTCAGTATGATAAGCAGGTACTTTCTGATAGCAACAAGATGCACAAGGTAAGTGCAGCCAATGGTAATATCAGCAGCTGGGAGAAAGTTCACATTTCATTGTTTTGCTCTGCATAAACTGGCAGTTTGTTTATGAGAAATTGTTTTCCAACTGAGAGGTCAAGGTGAACAGAAACAATCACAAGGCATTACACATGTGCCAGAGAGAGTTCAGGAAGCATACAACATAAAGAGATGTAGATAAAAGGAGGAAGAAAGGGAAGCACTCATATACATAATTTCATACACATAACTTTAGAAACCATATATAACTAAATAAATTTTAAGTTATGTATCAAATAATTTCTGCATTTTCTGATTCTCATTTGTTAGACAATGTATTGTAGATGCAATACTACTGCATGCAGAAATAGTAGTCATCCAGTCAACTTCGAAAAACCGAGAGGAATATAGCCTGTAAATCTGTTTAGACAGATGTTTGAGCAAAGTTGCATGACAAAAATAGTGAAACAAAATGCAAACAGACTGCTAAGATCAGTTTCATTAGCAGAATGCAGCGTGGTAAGCAGACAGCACTGGGAGAAGGGAAGAAGAGAGGTGGTATTGGATGACAGTACAGCTTTGCAGAAAGCTGTACAGAAAGAAAGTACAGAACCAGAAACACAGCAAAACAAGGTGCCAGAGCATGTATTCAGTACAACAGGTAAAGAAATTAAACATACAAGCTGAGTTTTGAATGAACAAAGGCAGCAATGTTACTTAGAATAGTCCTGAAGAGCAAAAAAAGGGAATTACTGTTACTACTCAATACACTGCAGAAGTCAAATTATACGATATGGCATTATAGGAGGCATTTGTTCCAACATCTTTGCAAAGAGTATTTTATTGATTCTAGTTAGATACAAATAAAAACAAAATAGCAAAATCAGTAACATACCAGTTCCATTAACTGCTTTAGTTGACCTATCTCTTCTGGAAGGGAACCTAGCTTATTGTTGCTTGCAATTAAGACTTTCAGAGGAAGACCACAAAGGCAAGCTGGCAAAGAAGAAAGTTGATTTCGACTGCAACAAAACAAAGAAAGAAAACAACCATCAAGAACACCAATGACATTCCACTGCACACTTGCATGAAGTTTTAGTTGTATGACTCCTACATTCTGATGGGTCAGACTTCCTGCAGATAACATGCAAGTTTTGGAATTGCAATCTTTAGGAAAACATTTGTAGATCATAAATACCTGCAATTACTGACTAAACAGTCAGTGGAGAATCACCACTCTGGAAAAAAGAATATATCACTTTAACAACAATTTAAAAGTGATTTTCATCTACAATAGCTGCTTCCCCTCCTAACGAACACCAGAAACTCAGTTGAGGCAGTACTTAGCAGGTATTTCAATATTCCTATGTTTTCTCTACACTCTATATGGCTTTTGGTTAAACTGAAAATGAACAAAAAAGAATTCCAGATTTACTTGCTATTTTCCCAGCTCCTTTTATACATTTATAGTTGAAAATCTCTTTGTACTTGTTGCTATTCCTCCAACCTCACAGACATCCCAAACTTAGTGGTGAACATTTCTGTAAGGAATCAAAGTCCAGAAGAAAAAAAATATACTCTTTTTAAATGCATCCTTTTTGCTCCTGATCTGCTTCCTGTTCACTGGTTAATGAATATAAGCCACAACATTATTCCTCTCTTAATTTGATAGAAGGCAGCCAGGCAATTTAGCATCAATTCATAAAAATTGCTATTACATATCACCGTATTCTGACTACCTAACAAACATTTCACTCTATTGGGAACAACTTTATTTTTCACCTTGAAAACGGGAAAACCAAAGAACAAGAAAAACGTACATCTTTAGTATCTCACAAAGTTCATTGAAGTGTTAAAAGAGCAAGTAAAAACACCTACTTCCCAGCCCTGTAACCTATAGACAACATACTTCAACATATTTTCCTTCATCATTTGAAAAAAACAAACAAAGAAAATAGGGTAGATTGCAACAATCTTACACTACAAGACAGTTCTGTATTATGGTGCAAAAGAACTTCTTCGTGGTAAAGGTGACAGAGCACTGAAATAAGTTGCCCAGAGAGGTTGTAGAGCCTCCTCCTATGGAGATATTCAAGAAATGTATGGATGCCTACCTGTGTGACCTATTGTAGGGTACCTGCTTTAGCAGGAGGGTCAGACTCTATGATTTCTTGAGGTCACTTCCAACCCCTGCATTTCTATGATTCTGTGATATTAAAAATGATTTATTTTAACTGCATGGGAAAACATTTCAGATGATTACTCCCAGATGTTGATTAAGTCATACAACAAAAATAAGACTTTCATAGGGAGCTTTTTCATCAGCGATGTTTTGGGACTCACAGGAGAGTATAAGGAACAGCATTCTCTAACAAGGGGAATATAGGACCTAATCTCTAAGAATAAGTATTACTTGTCATGCCATATATTTCTTTATTCAAATATGAGCCTAGCAAAACAAGATCAGCTCCAAATCACTCACAGGCTTTCCTGAACACCAGTGAGACACCTCTGCCAAGCACATTGCTTAAAAACAATTTCCTTAAATAAAACTCGTATATAGTTTTGGTGCTTTTGTGGATACCACTCATCTCTTGGCATTACTTTCTAACTCAGTTTAACATCTGGGCTTTCCTGGTACAAGACACAAAAATACTCATTTTAGATTGGCTGCCATTTTCTTGCCGGGAAGAAACATGGCTACAAAATCAATCTCTCTTCTACAGATTGCTTATTGTGTTCAACTTGTATTGAGGAAGGTCATATCCAAGCAAAGATAAAATTATTTCAGGAGATTTTAAGCTGAGGGAAATATCTTTAATTAGTAAAACTTGTAAATTTTCCATTTGTTTAGAATGTCCAACTTAATGTGATATCTGATAGCAACTTTTGAGTGTTCTGGGTTTGCGATGACTCACATTCCATCACTGCACTGAGATAATTCATTCTAACTCATAAATTTATGAAGATGTTCCATGCAAATTTGATTTCATCCCATCTTAATTTCTTTATGCAGATCTAACTGTAACACTACTTCAAATCTACAAGTCCTACTCTTGACATGTGTGCATGTAGCAGGGTAGTATGTATAGGGTAGTATGGTTAGGTCGTGGTTGGACTGAATGATCTTTAAGGTCTTTTCCCACCTGAGTGATTCTGTGATTCTATGTACTCAGGACACATTATTCTGTTGCAGTTTTTAAAACCAAAATTAGAATTCCATGGTACATGAACCTCATTCTTAAATCCCATATTATTATATCTTCATCATTACAGTTTCCACACATACTCAACTGCAAATATACCTCCGTGCCTTGTCCCAGATGAAAAAGCACTGACATATATCCTCTCAAAAAGCAAAAAAAAACATTCAGTTGCACTTTAACCAATAGACATTCTCAATATTGATTACTATTCATAAACAGTTTTCCTGGAAGAGAGACAGAGGTGTCTAATCCTCTGTCACTTCTTCCTAAAAAAGGTAGCAATTACAAGTGTGTCATAAGAGGAGGATATTAGGGATAAAAATCACACTTTTTCTGTCTGTTTCCCTTGAGGAAAGCCTTGATCCTCTGTCCCTACAATAAGCACACCCAACTTCACAAAATTTATTATTAAGTGGGAATGAAAAGAATCCAGCCATGCTGTTTTAATTAGCATTCTCAATTTGTTCAAAGAATAAGCGAAAGGATGTATGTTACTTAGTCCATCCTTAAATAGCTAAGTTTTTCATTTTAGCCTTTACAATGTCTTCATATAGAGAGCTGCATCTACAAGCAATGACTTTTTTTGCATTACAGTTTGCAATGAAAAGAAAAACGTAGTCAACTGTGCCAAGAACACAAAGTACAGACAAAAACTCCTGACACGTTTGCAATTAAACAGAAAACGTAGTAGACAAACTTACCTCAAATTTAAGTAAGTTAACATTCGTAAGTTCACTATGGCATCTGGAATAATTTTAATACAGTTGTGGTATAGATTTAGTGTTTCCAGTGACACAAAATGGCACAACTCTGTAGGAATCTCTGTTAATCTGTTCTTTGATAGATCTGAAAAGAGAAAGAGAGAAAACACATTTTTTTAACCATCAGAAATACACATATTGAAAAACTATGCTTATTTATTAATATAAGGAAATAAATATAATCCTAAAGCCAGACAACAAATAAAGCCAATATTTTATTAAACAAAATAAAACTAGCCCTAACCTTTAGAACTTTGAAATGGAACAGAGTGTATATAAAAGAGCAAACATTCAATTAAAATTTATTTGGTCTAATAAAAAGTAATTATTTGCAGGATTCAATATGCTGAGAAAATGCTTGAAACCACAACGCAGTAAATACTCCAAAGCTCAAATATTATGTCTCAAGACTGATACACAGATTTGCAAGAACAACCATGTTCTATCATCAGAAACAACACAAAAGTCACTCATACAATCACACTGGTGTCTGATAGAAAGGATACAAGGAAAATGGATCTTGTTGATCCCCTCGTATCTTGCCACTAGCTCAAGCTTCCTCCCTGATCCTTCAGTGCTTCTTCTGAAGCTTACTTTCTTTAACTGCAAGAAGGTGAAGGATCCAAAGTTTAGCAGACACACCTCTAGAGCATCTCATCTTTTCAGGATCATAAAAATAATTTTGCTTTTGTGAACAAACTGGCAGAAGCTCAAAAATCTTCTTAATAATTTTGCCATGTTGGGCTCAGTTCGCTGTACAAAGGTACAGTTTCAGCTCAAAACTATTGCCACTAGGAAAGTCTTACTACTTTTGGCGTTGTTCCTGTTTCCTGCAACACAAGCTGCAGTTCATCACTCTTCATTCCCCCTGTCAGCCTCCACTTTGCTTCACTTCCATCAATAACCAGTCTCACTACTCCAAACTTGACCAAGATAACAGCAATGGCCAACAAGTACATAAAGGGAGAGCGGTCCTGCTAACTCAAATGGTAAATGGATGAATTGAGCACCTCTGTCAAAATTATTCACCCATAAGTTCCTATACAACAGCAATGCTTGAAATGCTCTGCTTTGTCTTAGGAGACTTTGATGGTGGTTAGATGCAGCATTACCTCTGTTTCTACTTTCCTTCGCTGCTGCAATCAAAGAGATAGGAAATCTGTGAATGCCATCCTTTCTTTAAAGTGGAAGAAAGGTCTTCAGTGATCCTCTGTTTCAGTGCTTAATCCTCTCATGTTGTCCGTTTGCCATGTAGCATGGCATTCCAAAAAAAAACTGAACGCAGGTTCCGTACCCTGCTGCCATAATATCTGATAATAAATATAGCTAACAACAGAAGATTGACATGTTATGACTAAGAATTGTGCAACAGATCTTCCTACTGTACAATCTGGTCTCAAAGAAAATCTTCCCCTTTTTTAAGCCACACTTTCTGTAGTGACATCCCCACACCATTGCTATCATTTCATCCAGAGCAGGGATGGAGCAGGGTGGTTCTGAAGAGTAAACTGGAACTCGGCCCTAGGCTGAAGAGTACCTCCAGGAATCTGGGTGGCACGCGAGGAGTGGCCTCTCACCTTTGCTTTGATCCTCTGGAAGTAATACACATAGCTAAGACTGGGAACACAACAGTGTTACTTCTCTCTGTGCTACTAAAGCTGCAGCCTACCATCCAGGCCCCAGCTTCAATTCTGTTCTCATTTCCTTTCACATCAGATAAAATGATCTGTTGACACTACTTTTCCCTTATCCCAGAAAAAATCTTGGACTTCCAAGAAATGGAAGAGTATCTAGATTGATCCCGTTCCTCTGACAGACATTAAAGAGCACAGTATTATTATTTTTATTACAATTTTTACATTTTAAAAATTGTTCTTAATGCTATCCTTTGTTCTCAAGGGCTTCAAGACTGTTAATGTAAAGAAGGACAAAACAAAATGCCCACAGATGATAGCAAACAAAATCCTCCCTGTTATCCCTCAGGACACTGGGGTGTTGGACACAATGTGTATACAACAAAGGAATTCAATTAACTTACAACAGAGGAAGTCCATTATTTATTATTGTCAAGTTATCACAGGTTTTAGTTCATTTCAACAGTATTATATCTCCTGTTGCTTCCTAAACAATAATAAGAAAAGAATTATATCTGCTGAGTAAGGTGGAGAGGTTGTGGTCTCCTCTGGAGAGATGCAAAACCTGCCTGTGTGATTTCCTGTGGAACATACTGTAGGAAACATGGGGCTGAATTCTCTGATTTCCAGAGGTCCTTTCCAAGCCCTACGACTCTGACTCTGTGAAAAGCTGTATGTTTTATTTACTACTCTTACTTAATACTCGGTTAGCTTTATTCAATCAAAAATGGAGCCTCTGTACATGATACAGGTGAGAAGAAAGCCTGGCAGCTTCTAGGTGCCTTTAAAAATTCCAAGAATAAAAGCACATCTTTTCAATGCTGAAAAGTAACGGAAACATTCTGCAAATAAACTCAATACTGTATCTCATCATTAACAAACTTCTGAAAGTTACATAATTAGTTTGATGTTACTTACACCAAGGTACTTCTGATTCTTTTGGATAGTAATAGGTCAAGGGGGAATCACAGAATCATAGAATCACAAGGTTGGAAAGGACCTGCAAGATCATCTGGTCCAACCATCCTCCCATCACCTCTGCTACCACAAGCACTAAACCAAATCTCACAGCTCCTCATCCAGACGCCTCATGAACACTGCCAGGGATGGCGACTCCACCACCTCCCTGGGCAGCCATTCCAGTGCCTGACCAACTCTGAGAGAAAAAGTTCTTCTTTATGTCTAAGAATGGTCTTAAGCTGAGACGGGAGATTTGGTTAGATATTAGGAGGAAGTTTTTCACACAGAGGGTGGTGATGCACTGGAACAGGTTGCCCAAGGAGGCTGTGGATGCCCCATCCCTGGAGGCATTGAAGGCCAGGCTGGATGTGGCTCTGGGCAGCCTGGTCTGCTGGTTGGCGACCCTGCACATAGCAGGGGGTTGAAACTGGATGAGCATTGTGGTCCTTTTCAACCCAGGCCATTCTGTGATTCTATGATTCTTTAAGTATTGCACCTGACAGTTAGCCTTAACGTATTTCAGGTATATTCTGATACTTAAGAATTAAATTATAATACAAACAATTTGTCATTGCTGAGCCTGAACAAAACTGCACAGTCCTTGGAACTGTATGAGAAAGAGTGTTTGCATTTTGTTTCTGTCACAGTTCAAAACATTTTCAGAAAGTTTTTGAAAATGTTTTATTGGGTTCATTAACTCCAGAAAAGAGAAGAATGCAGAAACTATTATACAACAGCTTTTGAAAACATTTTTAAAATACAGAAGTAGTTGGCAAATCTGTCTTTTTGGGTTTTTTTTTTTTTTTACTGTATTTTTTTTTCAACTGCATATTTCCAAATCACAAAGCTGCACAACACCCTTGCTTCATTAATTAAAAAAAACACCTCAGGGCAACTAAAAATAATGCCATTATTGCAGAGACTTGCTTTTGCTACAGAAATAGAACGAAACAGACAAATAGGACTTGGGAGACTTTAAAGGAGTTTTGACTAAGCTGATTCCAGCTTCTAATCCACAAAGTAATGAATCCATTGTGGTACATTAATGGTCACTAAAACTACACATGGGTTTAACTCGAGGTGACTACTTCCTGTTATTCCAGTATGGAACAGGCAACACAAACACAGACAAATAGCCCAGCAGTGGTAAGGGCACCAGAGCAAGCTTTGTGTGTTTTACATGGAATACACTATTCATTCAGTATTTTATTTCAAACACCATTTGGCTTTATTTCATCTCTTCCTGCCAAAAAACAAGTTTGTTAAAACTCTCAAATAAAAGAATGGAACACAAAAAAATAAGCAAATCAGCTAAGAAAAATATCAAACGGATTCGTGATCTTTAAAAAAAAGAAATCACTCCAATTTTGGAGCAACGACACTGCTTTTGTACAAAGAAATGTTACTATGTTGGAAGCTGGACAGGAACTACACGAAACGAGCACTTCCTCAGCTGGGAGTGAACAATGAAAAGCAAAATTTGAGGCCAGTAAGGAGCAACTCACAGCTGGCTCCAAGCCATGTTTGGGGACTGGGCACGGGGCTCCAGGCTGTCAGCAGAGCAGAGATTGCTGAGCCCACCCTCAGGACATAAGCTTGCAGTTCTTGGAGCCCCAGTGACATCCCACTGCTGACCACAACCTTTGCAACTGATTTGTTGAGTAGCTCGTAGATCATACAGAGCTATAAGGCCAGTCATCCATTAAATAAATATGCCTGTGCACTTCTATGTCACAAATCTTTGCTAAGTTTTTTTAAAGAATGCAGTTTCTTAAAAAGCAGTGATTTAAAATGTTCAGATTATAAAAAAATACATTATAAAATTGTATTAAAAAAAAAAAAAAACCTTCCAAAGGCCCAAGTTGGAATTGAGAATTTGTCCACAACTGAGCACGAAAAAAATAATAGACATATATTTGAAATAGAAGATGACACTTAGATATGGAGTTTTAAAATTGAGAAATTGAATGCTTAAAAAAAAAAATTAAAAAAAAAAAATCACCCAAACAACCTTTACTACAGCCCACCAAGTTCCTTTTTTTATAGTCTTCAGCTCTTACCAAACAAACAACAGGAATTATTTTGAAGAAGGTATTTGCATTTGTACTAAGATGCCATTCCAGGTATTCAAATGAGATGTCTGAATTGGATTGACAAAAAAAAAAAAAAAAAAAAAAGATTGACAAAAAATTTAAGTAATACATTGCGAGGAAAGTTATGCAAGAAAAAACACTGGGAAATGCATTTTAAAAAGGCATATATAACACACAATACAACCATATGGAGCTTTGTCATTTTTACCATTCCCATGTTTTCAGCTGTCTTTTAGGAGGCCTGCATTTCCATATGAGCCAAGTGTACCTTCACTGATAATTAAAGCCACAAACTGATGGTACTGCATCTCAGACAACTGAAATCACTGCTTAAATGCACTTTAGGCCTTCAGCAAGTTGGCATCCCACCCATACTTGCTGTGGCAAAGGCAAATGGT